TGACTATATAATCTATGTCCGTAGGAATCCAGCACCTAAGCAATAATACTTAGATTAATGACAATGAAAAACATGATCAACATTTTAATTTTCATGAAAAACCTAATGCTAATGAAAATCAAAATGAAAATGAAAATTTTAATGATAATGACAATGACAATGATAATAAAAATAATGGTGAATATCATAATGATAATGAAAATCATAATGATAATGACAATCAGAATGATAAATAAATCATAATGATAATGAAAATCTTAATGATAATGAAAATCATAATAACAATCATGATGATAATGACGCTGATAACGAAAATCCCAATGATAATAATAATGAAAATCAAAAGGATAATGACAATCATGATGATAATCAAGCTCATATTGAAAATCATAATGATAATGACAATCATGATGATAAAGAAACTGATAAGGAAATTCCTAATAATAATGAATATCATAAAGATAATTAAAACTGTAACGATAATGACACTGTCAATGATTATGAAAATGATAATGAACATTATTAAGATAATGACAATGATAATGAAAATGCTGATCCAAACGGTAATGCTTTGCTTATAATAATACAAATAATAATGGAATTACTCATGATGATGATGTAATGAAATTTATAGCCTATGATAACCATAATATAAGCTAAAATTAAATGTTCGTAATGATAATAACAATGGTAATCATAAGAATTAATTACAATAATAACAATTCTAGTCTGAAATTCATATTTTGAATAGAATCAAGATTTGACCACATTCGTAAATGGGCCACATACCAATCAGTATAAGCTACTTGTAAGCCATCAGTTTTAGCCAGGGTTAATTTAAATGATAGCAAAAATAATAATAGGCTTGCTACGATTTTAATTAGCTGCAAGGGTATTAAAGCTTCGGCTAGCCAAAGTGATTTGGATTTGGTCGTTGTTGTTGTTGTTGTTGTTGTGTAGCTGTAGCTGTGGCTGTGGCTGTGGCTGTGGCTGTTGGTGTGTGTAAACGACAGTGTCGCTGCTCTAGAAGCCAAGCTATCTAACCACTAAGCCGGTCTCGCCCCCGGGAGCAGAGATAATCATCGCAATCCCAGGCTTACCTGCTCGAACACATTCTCCGGGCTGCTCTCGCGGCTGTCCTCCTCGTGATGGGACGAGCTGGAGGCGCGGCTCAGCTCGATGCGTGGCGTTGATGGCGTGGTTAGTGTGGCAGCTCCACGAAAGGTGCCGCCCGTGCCCGCAGCCATGCCCATTGCCAGCGGCAGCGGCTGGCCGCCCTCATTGCTGCTCACGAGAGTCGTTGTGACGGTGGCCGTGGCCGTTTTCAGCGGTGGCGGTCGTTGCTTGGCAACGATGGAGCTGACATTGGCGGAGCAGGTGGCGGTCGATGTTGATGATGAGGTGGATGTGGAGGAGCTGCTGCTGCTGCCAGTGTTGGACAGTGCGGCTGCAGTGGATATGCTTGGCGCTTCGCTGGGATTCGGATTTGGATTTGGATTTGGATTTGGATTCGATTTGCGAGTGGTTGTCGTTGTTTGTTGTTTGCGCAGCGTTTGCTCCATCATCTGCAAAAAAATTCAGAGCTTTGGATAAAGGCACTGCAGATAAATGACACACACAAGAGAGACACACACACACACACACACACACTATGTCAATCATATGCTTTGCAACAGTGGCTGTCTCGTGCTCTGTGCCACTGTTGCACTGGGAGCTGGCATCTTCCCCAAGGCTCGAAGCCCCAAAACTCGAATCACAATTCATTTTATTTCCTCTATGGTTTTCATTACATGCGATTTTAATTAATATCATCCATTGCGCTCGCGTTGACCATTTTTCAATGGCTCAACATGCCACACGGACTTGCCGCATTCACCTGCCGTCCCAAAAGTGTCAGCACAGCTTTGTAATTGAATTTTCTTTGAATGCTTCGGGGCGCTCAAAATGAATTTCAAAATGTTATTTCGCTTTTTACGACCCCATTCCCGGCTCCAACTTAATTTAGAATAGTTTCGAAGCAATCTCCCAATACCCTATAGATATGCAGGCCGTTAGAGAAACTCTTTCTTTATTCGCATTACAAATTACAGAGTTTTTCTTTTATTAACTTTTCAATTTATCTATCTTTAATCGGAGCTTAAGATACTTCCATTCATATCCGTCTAACTGTAAGTTGTTGCCTACTTTTCCGCTTCTTGTGTAGGGTATATATAGAACATAAACAAAACTCTGTGAACTGTAACATGAGCTCCTAAAAAAACGAGAAAAGTTATCTTCAGCTACAGCAGCAAAGTTTTGCTAACAGTAATTGAATGCTGCACTTTTTAATGAAATACTATATCCTTGATACTTTTCCCTTTCATATCATTTACTTTTTCATACTCTGTTGAAGAGGGCAGCAAATGTATTTGCTTGACTCAATTTCTAAAGATTCCCTTCTGCGTCTCAGGTTCGCTCAATATGACAATTCGGGTAGAAATTGTGACCCTCTAGCATTAGTTTGTATTGCAAGGCTAACCAATATTTGGAAGTTATTATTTTAAACAATAGAGATAGAGATAGAGATAGAGATAGAGATAGAGATAGAGATAGAGATAGAGATAGAGATAGAGATAGAGATAGAGATAGAGATAGAGATAGAGATAGAGATAGAGATAGAGATAGAGATAGAGATAGAGATAGAGATAGAGATAGAGATAGAGATAGAGATAGAGATAGAGATAGAGATAGAGATAGATAGAGATAGAGATAGAGATAGAGATAGAGCTAGAGATAGAGATAGAGATAGAGATAGAGATAGCGATAGAGATAGAGATAGAGATAGAGATAGAGATAGAGATAGATAGAGATAGAGATAGAGATAGAGATAGAGTAGAGATAGAGATAGAGATAGAGATAGAGATAGAGATAGAGATAGAGCTAGAGATAGAGATAGAGATAGAGATAGAGATAGAGATAGAGATAGAGATAGAGATAGAGATAGAGATAGAGATAGAGATAGAGATAGAGATAGAGATAGAGATAGAGATAGAGATAGAGATAGAGATAGAGATAGAGATGAGATAGGATAGAGATAGAGATAGAGATAGAGATAGAGATAGAGATAGAGATAGAGATAGAGATAGAGATAGAGATAGAGATAGAGATAGAGATAGAGATAGAGATAGAGATAGAGATAGAGATAGAGATAGAGATAGAGATAGAGATAGAGATAGAGATAGAGATAGAGATAGAGATAGAGATAGAGATAGAGATAGAGATAGAGATAGAGATAGAGATAGAGATAGAGATAGAGATAGAGATAGAGATAGAGATAGAGATAGAGATAGAGATAGAGATAGAGATAGAGATAGAGATAGAGATAGAGATAGAGATAGAGATAGAGATAGAGATAGAGATAGAAAGAGAGATAGGCATAGAAAGAGTCTCTTCATTTAATGGATATTATTCTTATAAGGAGCGCTTCATAAAATTCTGATTGCACTCTTTCGTTATACATTTAGTAAGCCCCATTATACAAACTTAACCCCAATTTGTGGCTCCTTGCAACACTTTGATGCATTTAACATGCAAAGTGACCATGGAGGATGTGTGCATTGCAGCTAAAACACTCAAATTAGATGAAATGGCTTAGCTCGACCTTGCGGCGCCAACCATTAGCCAAGTCTTAAGTTAAGTCTTTTTAACCCTGCTGCTAACCACTTTAAGGCTAACCAACCACTGTAACCCAGTCCTAAATGCAATGTCAATGCAATTATCCAATTTAAACTTAAGAAAAACCTTCTTGACGCCTTCTCCAAGCTGAGCTGTACATTCACATAATAGTTTAGTGGAGCAGCACGCGCCCCTTCATGACCCCTTCTCATAAATGCGACGCACATGGAGCCACATCAAATGCGTTCAAGGAGATGTCCTTACACACACACATACATACACACACTCACACACTCACACACAGGCACAGCATTCGCGCTTGTCACTAGAATGCGCTGATTGACACATGGCGCTTGGGAGCTTGGGGCCGAAGCTGGGCGCCAGGAGTGAAGGCGTCAGCGGATTTTAAGGCGAAAGCATGCGTTTATTGTCTGCATGTGCGTAACGAGGGAAGGGGGAGAGAGAGAGCGCACGATGGAAAGAGAGCGAGGGGAGAAATGCATAAACCTTGGGCTTTTTGCACACGCACACACACACACACACCAAAATTAATTTGAAGCTGCTGCTGCTAAAAACTATGCAATGCTATTCACGTGCTCGCGCTCTCACTCTCACACGCACACACTTATTGACTCACACACTCACCCCACTCTCTCTCACTGTCTTCGCTGTTCGCTCTCTACACACATACACGCCATGCCGCCGCATGCCGCAGCGCATACATAAAAATTGTAATTAATTTGGATAAACAAGAACCGGCTTGGTAACGGAACATTGTTCGAATTGTTGTGGTTCGCCTTTATTTTTGTAATATTTGATGGTATACAGAAAAGGACACAAAAAAATTAAATACAAAAAAAAAAATATAAAGATAAAGAAAGAGGCATAAAACAGCGCACGAAATGGGGGCAGTCGAAAAGGCAGCGACACATTTTTTGTGATATTGCATACTTTTCAGCGTTGGAAGCTGCGCGCTGCTCGTAAATGCCTTATCATATTAATTATAATTATAATTTTTAATAAAAGCAACGCACACACACAAATATACGCAGATATACATTTGTGTATATATATTGGACAGCCCACAGTATGTAGAGAGGCGCTACCGCTGCTGCTGCTGCCGCTGTTTCTGTTTATTGTTAATGTTGTGTTCTCACACATACGCATACATACACGCGAGCTTACACATGGCATCTTTCCTGTTATGTGTGCGCCTTGCTACTCACCGTGTGCCAAAACTTGCCGTTATTGCTCTCTTGCCCTGCTTGTTAGTGTATTGTATTAATATATTTTTCTTTTAGTTGCTGCCAGCTCCTCTACTTGTCCTTATTAATTTTTTATTAATTTCTTTTGCCTTAGCTTTGCACCGAAAAAAAAACAACCGAAAAAAATTAGTGTAGCCAGCGGCGCTGCAAGGCGCAAGGGAAGCGCAAAGTCAAAATGTTTGGTTCACTTTTGCTCGTTACTGGCGTGTGGTTTGCTTTTGCTTCGCTTTTGGTTTGTTCGTACGCGCGCGCTCAGAACTCCACACACTTCACACTCAACATGCCCGCTTCCTCACACTCTATCGGTATTTATTTCCTTCGCTCCGCTTAACCGTTAGACTGCACGCACGCAGCGCCAGCATCGTACTGGGCCACAGCCAAAAAGCTTGCTATGCCGTTTACGACTTATGCCCGGCAGCGTTCAAAGTAAAGTTTAAAAAAGCTCCCATCGCTGCTAAAAGCTTCGCAGCAGGCGTTCTTGCAAAAGCTTTCTTTAGTGCCAATGCACGCTCAGCTGGCTAAGCTTCGAATACAGCACTGCGCAGACAAATAGAATGGGCAGCTTTTGAGAGATTTATTTCTCAAAGCATCAATTACATTTATTAAACGTGAGTTAATGGCAAAAAAAATGAATGAATGAATGATTGTGAAAAAAAACCAAATATCTTGGATTTTCTTTGAATCGAATAAATATATAAGCCTTTCTCTTACACACAATTGATATAGTTATTGTGTGTTTTTATATGTGTGCTGCGCACTGTGGCTCCACTCCGCCTCACTCTCACACTTTCTCACTCTCTTCTTTGCTCTTTCCCAGTCCACAGTGTGCGGATGTTTTTGCATGTTCAATTTTTTGACTGTATATCCACACAGACACATACATATACATACACACTTTCACACGCACGTGCGCATGTTTGCTTTACAGGCTGTTTCCAATTTCTGCTCTCAATCTTTGTCCATTGTTAAATGACATTATTTGGAGCACTTCACATTTGATTTGGCGCGTGTCAAAATATTTTCGCAATTGTGCCTGTTCAACTGTACTCCCTTGCTCACTGCCTACGTCCTGTTTGACAGCTTTCGTTTACGTTTCTGTTTCTGTTGTTTTTGTTCCTTTTGCTGACTTTAGCTTAAGCTGCTCTTTGCTGTTGCTTTAACGGTAGCTGTTGTTGGTGTTGATATATATATATTTGTGGGCAACACTTAAGCTCTGTTTTGTTTAATGGCCAAAAGCGTTTTGTACGCCTGCCTTTAAGTGGCCATTTGCATGTTTTTGGCATTCACCCAGAGCCCAGCACATTCAACCGGCCATAAAGGACATCATCCCCATTTCCCATTCCCTGCCCATAGTGGATTTTATGTTGGTGATAATTAATTTTTGAAACGGTTCATAAATATTATTTATATACCATGCATGTATGTATGTGTGTATGCTTATGCATGTGCAGCTTAAGCTCGGCATCTATGAAACTTACCGCTATTCGATTTTGCTGCTGTGTTGCAGCTGTTGCTGTTGCTATTGTTGCAATGGCTGCAGTTGTTGCTACTGTTGCTGTTGTTGCTGTTGTTGCCATCGTGGTATTGTCCTCAAATGACTTTTCGAACGATGCAATTGGCGCTGGGCCAAGTCGCTTCTGTCGGCGTGCATCCATCCCGGTTCAGCCTGCACAACTAGGGCTCACACACACATATACATTGACACAAACTTTCGTCCTGCAGGCTTTCAACTGAAATGACAGAGAAAGATGGAGGCCGAGTGTGAGCGAGAGAACGATAGAGTCTATTGGCACGCTTCTTTTTCTTGGCTAGTCATAATTGCCACAGGCAACAATAAATGCAGCTATAGAAACGACGTAGTTACCTAATGATCGACCAGTCGCTTACCTATCAGCTATAAATGCTTAAAAATTGTGAGTGTTTATAAATAACTTAAGAATATATAAATGGATCAACTATATAGAAATTCATAATATATACATATCTGCGACGACAGCAGAATCGGTTAGATCAAAAATCATTTCTCTGAAGGTCAACAACGGCTGCTAGTTGCTAGTTTCGCATGCCGACCCAGGAGTTATAGTTACAGGGTATCTACATATACAATAACTTAGCTATGTACATGCCAGCTCTATACGTACATGCCATCAATCACTAGGGAATATATAACTTATATATATACAACTATATAGAAAAATGGAGCATACAACGGGGTTTGCAATGGCAGCAAATTATTGGCTTCATAAATGTTGCCGAACAAATCGTGCCTGAAGTTCGTTGAACTAGTTGGAATGTATATAGCAACAACCACAACAATAAGAGTAACAGTTATAATAATAATAATAATAATTTCTGCATCAGCAGCAAATGCAGCGCAACAAAGCATATTTAATGCATTTTAATTACTATTTAATCAGTACCTAATTAGAGAAAGCTTTTAATAGAATTACCAAGACGACAGTTGCGTTTTTTCTAGCTTGAGCAAATAGCGAATACCCTAACTATAAATATTGCTTATGTACGCGATATGATAGTGTTTTGTTCAGATGGAGTTAGCTATATATAGATGTATATATTCTAATAAATAGAATTTCCACAATTACATATATTACATTTAGCAGCAGCTATTGTTGTCTCTTTTTTACTCACGAAATGAGAAATGTAGCTAAGACGCAAACTCACGCGGATAATATTTTTACAACTATAAAAAAGTTCTCACACTAATTCTAATGCAACTTGAGAATGCCATAACGAATTGGGAAACTAAGAAAACTACTATATATTATATTTTAAATTGCGACATACATATATACATATACATAAATATATACTTTATACTTTGACAATTCTAATTATTGCTCTTTGTCCACTTGCAATCATAGCGAACCTCGCCGAATAGCCTGAATAGGCATCTCGCTCCCATCCAACAACAGCCGTTATTACATTCAGCAGCTGCTATTGTTGTCTCTTTTTTATTCACGAAACGAGAAATGTAGCTAAGACGCAAACTCGCGCGGATAATAAATTGACAGCTCTAAAAAGCTCTCACACTAATACTACTGCAACCGTAGGGGGCCATCATGAAATTCAAAACAAAGAGCACAAACGTTTATTAGATTTGTGCTCTAGTCATTTATGCTCTGTCAAGTACACTACATGCCACGTTGCATTGCGTTGTCAAAACGTTTGAAATTTAAGCGAAACTAATTAAAATTGCTCGACTCAGTGGACATTAATTAATACAGAATGTATAAAACACGAATTGAATTATCTTTGCAGATAAACTGATTTACGAATTGAATTTGTAGAATATTACATGAGTTGAAGAGCTGAGCTCAGCTAAAGTGTATAATTTGGCTTTAAAATATTAACGAATTGGCTAAATCTGAATTTAATCAAGCTAAAAACGTCACTCTTAAGCTAAGCCAAGAAATCAATTTTCTGATAAGCTTTATATATAGATATATATATAAAGCTTATATATATATATATATATATATATATATATATATATATAAATTTGTTTGTTTACATCGCCAAGTTTTAGCAATGGCTAACAGCTAAAAGCCAGCTGACATGTTGTCAAAAGTTGGTTCGTTATAAATTTGGATGACGAATGAATTTTCGTATACTCACAAAGGATGCTGCGCTGAATGATTAAGTACTAGGTAAACAGAGCTTACCTGGCTGACATATAACAGATGCCAGTTGCCAGTTGCCAGCCTGTGGCCGTGTCCGTGTCCGTGTCCGTGCCTGTGGCAGCAATTTGATGCAACATTTTGGGGCAGTCATGACTTCATCGACTCAAATTGAATACTCGTTCGTATATCAAAAGCAAACTGTGCCACAAGCTGACGACCGTAACTGGCAATTGGATTTGTTGTCAGTTGATATTTTGGTAAGCGAAGGACATGCTACATGCTACATGCTACATTCTACATGCTGCATGCCACATGCAGGCAAATGGGTAATAAAACCGCTGAGCTTTAGTCGACTGTGCATGACTAACTGATGCCCTAAGCAAGCAGCAAACACCTCGCTCTCCCCCCTATATCTCTCTGTATCACAGCAACTGCCTCAGCCCGTGGCAACTTCATGTGCAACTTCATATACGAGTAACAGCTGAACTTAAGTATAAGCTCTATAGACGCACGATATACCCATTTGCGCTTGGCGCATAGGGTATAAACTGACATATATTAACATTACAGTCGACTGCATAAAGCAGAGCGTAACCAAATCTTTGCAGTCGAATGGCCGCAACTGTGGCAAGGGAAACTTCAAGTAAGAGTGCTCTAGTCTAGACTGTTCGACTAACAGATACCCTGCGCCGTGCAGGTTAGTGATATTCCAGTCAGTCTATGTTTCTTCCACACATACATACATAGCAAACAACACATGCACACACACATACACATACGCAAGCATGAATATGCACGCGCTCTGCTTACTGCGCAGCGACAGCGCTGGGGCTGTGTTTGGACAGCGCTTGGACTGCGTTTGAGCAGCGCTTGGACTGCGCTGGGGCTGCGTTTGTGCTGCGTTTGAGCAGTGCTTGGACTGCGCTTGGACTGCGTTTGGGCTGCGCTTGGGCTGCGCTGGGGCTGCGTTTGTGCTGCGTTTGAGCAGTGCTTGGACTGCGTTTTGACAGCGCTTTGGCTGAGTTTGGACTGCGCTAGGGCTGCGCTTATGGGAGTCGCTATCTGAATTGAATTATTGCATAACTTTTCTTTAAAATGGAATTTCTTAATCAAATTTTCAGAGCGTTTTATGTATGTATATGTTAAAGCACATGTCTGTAGTATTTGTAGTACGTGCTTCACAGATTTGAGTGGAAATGGGGGAGAGTTATCAGAAATACAAAATATGCAAAATCTTTGCATTCATTACACGAACCTACACGTTAAGTCTGTGGTCTCCAATATTTTCAGTACTAAAGATATGCTTAAAAACGAAGCCAAATTATCGATTTTTATCGATAATAAGGAAATGAGTTATCGAAAAAACACATAAAACGTATGATATATTCGAGTGTACATTTCAAATTTGAAGTCTCTAGCTTTTGTGGCTTACGAGGTTCACATGGACCAACGCATATGGCTAGATCGACTCAGCTCGTCTATCTGATCAAGATATATATATAAGGGGTCTCGCCTTCTTCTGCTCGCTACAAACATTTTCACGAAGCCATTATACCCTGAATTGAACTCTGCAATGAGTTCAGGGTAATAAAAACAAGTTTGGAATAAGAGAAGGCGAGCGAGTGGGTGGCGCAGATAGAGAGGGAGATGGAAAGAGAGAGAGAGAGAGAGAGAGCGGGCGGGCTCAATAAAAGTTGTATTCAAAAATGTTTATTTTCCAGTTTATTGTTGCTGTTATTGTTGTTGTTGTTGCTGCTGCACAAGTTCAATATGAGTAAAAGCTTTTGCCCTCGGGGACATTTTCGGTAGCTCGCATGCATTGAATTGATTGCCTACTTTCTGGGGCGAGCTACCCGATCCAAGGTAGAGAGAGCGAAGCTATAGTAATTATTCACATTCAACATGCGAGAAACTGTCTATATACAAATATATATATATATATATATATATATATATATATATATATATATATATATATATATATATAAATATTTATTTATTTACTTGCCAATATGCTATAAGAATACCAAAATTGGGCAATAAAATGTGCGGCAAAATCGAAGCAAATACAAATTTTATGAGTTTCAATGGAGTTTCAATGGGGTTAAGCCAAATAAACAATCTAAATAGTACAGCATAGTGTATTATGACATAGTTTATGGCAAAGCATAACATAGAATGGCATCGCAGTTATATATAGTCTAGGACAGTCGAATAAGGAGAGGAGAGTGTGGAATAGTCTGGCATAGTAGAAGTCCAGTAGTATATATAATAGTAGTAGCAGTAATAGTAGCAGTGGTAGTAGCAGTAGTAGTAGCAGTAGTAGTAGTAATATTAGTAGTATTAGTAGCAGTAGTAGTAGGTACTGCTGTGTAATGATGATGTGTAAAAAAAGGCAGGAAAATAACCATAAAGTATATTTATTCTTGAGCAGGACAAAGAGCTGAGTCGATCTAGCACGTCCGTCGATCTGAGTACTTCGACAACTCATTTAATTTCCTTATTATCGACCAAAATCGATAATTCGATAGCAATTTTTAAGCGTAGTTTGAATAAATACCTACAATTTTACTATGTAAGCTATTGTAATGAATACATCGATTTTTATACATTTTAGATTTTTTCTCTCTGAAATACTAGAGACTTGTGCTCTGGCAAATACACATATATAAATATCATTATCACGCTCTGAACATTTGAATATGAAATTCCATTTTTAAAAAAAATTATACAACAATTAAGTTCGGATAGCGACTCCCATAAGCAAACTCAGTCAAAGCGCAGCCCCAGCACAGCCCAAGCGCAGCCCAAACGCAGCCCAAACGCAGCCCAAACGCAGTCCAAGCAGAGCCCAAGCGCAGCCCAAGCGCAGCTCAAGCGCAGCCCAAGCCCTGTCCAAGCACAGCTCAAACGCAGCCCAAGCGCAGCTCAAGCGCAGCCCATGCGCAGCCCAAGCGCAGCCCAAGCCCTGTCCAAGCACAGCTCAAACGCAGCCCAAACGCAGCTCAAGCGCAGCCCAAACGCAGTCTAAGCGCAGCCCAGACGCAGTCCAAGCGCAGTCCAAGCGCAGTCGAAACGCAGCCCAAGCG